CCCCCCACACACACACACACACACACACCCAAAAAAAGAAAGAAAAGAGATCTTATAGGCCAGCATGATGGGTCAGTCAGAAAGTAAACAGTGTGCAGGATCTGAAACTGATGGAGCGAGATGACGTCATTGACTGGAGCGACTTAATCTGTCAGATAATTTCATTAAATTCACTGTAGTGGCACCTAGTGGATAATTTAGGTATTACAGCACAAAGTTCAATACAGGCAGCAGAAACTGTGGAAGACGAATGACATGCAGTTTGTGTTTAAAATGTTGCCTATTTTAGATCAAACTGTACTTTTACTCTTATTTATCAAAATAAAGAAATAGTTTGGTGAGCTACTGAGCTGTTTTTCTCGGTGAATAGATGTTTTTAGAGCTTGCAAGATAAATCTATTAAATCTAGTAATCTTGGCTGTTAGAACAAGAACTCACTAATTACTTGAAGGGATACGAACAACATTGTGCCATTTTGTGTACATATCTGTTAGCAAAATATCTCAGGGTTGACTTTTAATGAAGCTAGCAGAAAAGTGGATTCACATCTGCAAGTGATTGACTTGAAGTCAACTCTTTCCAAGATGGCCACCAAAGCTAAATAACCTGTAACTGCCAATTTTACAGACGACAAACTCGTTTGATGGAGTCGTAGCTGTGAGCCATTCACAACACACTCTGAGCTCGACATGTTGAGAATGTTGTGTTAGATTTAGCAGGACGTTATATTCTAGGTTTGTCCCAAAACAGCTACAACTCCATCATTTCTCTACATAAAATAACCATTAACAACTCTAGCATGAAACAAATACTTAAATACAACAGGTCAATGTCATCACGTCATTTTTTCCCCTGATTTTCAAACGTCACAGATGGCGCACTCTGATCTGTTTTATATGTAAACGAGTGATTTTCTCTTCAAAAAGAATCTATCTCTGTAAACACACACCTTTCACCTTGCCTGACCCCCTGTTTGAAATGTGATCAGTCTGTTTGTCAGGACAAGAGGGCCTCCTTGCACCACGAGTTCCATCATTTCCCATCAGATGAAGATGTGTATCACAGCCTGTAATGATTTACCAGAACATCAATATCTGTCCAACGTGTCCTTTCAAAAAATCAACGTTCTCTGCTTCTGAACCCTGTTCCACCAGGATGTGCTGGCCTTTAGTTTTTGTGACTGAAGCAGTTCACTGATAATTCACAACCACACATATGAGCATCAACCCAAACAAAAATTCCAATGAAGATACGCACTTGTTAGAGAGGGTTGACGCGTTTCAGTTCGCAACAAAAAATAAATACTTTCATAGACTTTAGCAACGTTTTGGGGAGTCATGAATCTCAGTTTGCTAAGCACTGATTTCTGTGGAGAAACTGGTTGGAAAGCGTTGCATAAATTTGGAATCTGCAGTTGAGAAATGGTTTCTAATGAGAGTGACTGACTCACTATGTGGCAACTCAAAATGTCTGTTTTAAAACAATATATACTAGTATGTATATATATATATATATATATGTGTGTGTGTGTGTGTACTAAATAAATTGCGCATTATAGGTTAAAGCAATAGTTCAGATGTTTGGTCATGTTTGCTTGTTACAGTAACCAATTCACCAACCTCAGAAACAGAGTTTAATTCAGATTGTTCAGAGGTCTGCAACGTACAGCCATGAGGCCACATGTGGCTCTTTGGTTCCTTTGCTTTGGCACTTTGTAGGTTTGACCATAAATTGAATGGAGATGAATATAGTAGTCCCTCGTTTATCGCTGGTGTTCCGTACCCTGCACACTCCCACCCCACTCCCCTGTGATAAATGAAAAACTGCGAAGTAGGGATAGAGTAGTTCAAGTTCAAGTACAGTAAACTTTATATTAAAGGCTTTATAAACCCTTCCCACACTCTTGGAATGTTCTAAACTCTTAAACCTACATCCATTTTAACAACATATGTTACTAAATTTTACTTACTAGCTCTGCAGAACAGCAACAGCTCTGGTTCCGGTTCAACTCTGTTCTACTCCGACTCGGTTTGTTTCTGCAGACCTATACTGCAGCGATGACGTCCACAATCAGTCCTCTAAACACTTAAACCTACTAAATTTAACAACATACAGTACTTATATGTAAATTAGCTACAAAATTTTACTTAGGCTCTGCAGTACAGGAGCAGCTCGGTTCCGGTCTGACCCATTAGATGAAAAAAGTCCCGGTACAGTATGAGTGAAGCTCACCACTCCATCCAGCTTGATGTGCGCTTGCTGCTGCGCCAGGAGCAAGGCTGCCCAGGGTTTAATCCACCACTTCTGGCCTGGTCCAGCACCACACGACCAGAACCTGACTGCCCACAGCTATCTGCCTCTCCCAGGATCTGGGTCACACTGATTCTGGATCAACTGCAGCACAGCTACTCAACAGTGAAAACACAACTTGAAGGATGAGTTCAGCTTCAGAATTATTTATGACTTTCTTGCCGGTCCTGTGAGCTTATCCATACAGAACCTCTGACTTTGCGTTGCAAAACTTTCCCTCCATTTGCAGCAAGCAGCGGTTGGAAGCAGTGTTGACTTCTGGGACGTGAACTGATGGCTTCTGGGTAATGTAGTTCTTTAGACTGGCAAAACTGTGAAGGCTTAATGAAAGAAAACTACAAAATGGTGGCACTGTTTTTTTTTTGTTGTTGAAAATATTATGTACATGTACGGTACTGTACTTAAACAAACCGCAATAGAGCGAGTCCGCAAAAAAAGAACCGCAAAGTAGCAAGGGACTGTGTTTACCGCTATATTTAGAACCACAATCTGGATTGTTTTTATGACTACTGTTGAGTTAAAGCTTTTTGGTCATAGATTGGGTTGATTTGAGCAAATATTGGGACCAAAAAATTTGATCCAGTGGTTAAGTCTGAGGTGAGCTGTGCCATTCTTCACAGGCTGACATTTTAAGCCTGAAGTTGGTCAGAGGATCTCTAGGATGTAATAAGTAACAAAGATTAGATGGTAAGACCAACTTGTAAAATGTTTAATGTGACTGGATTTGTTATTAAATTTAATTTGCAATAAACAGCGAGTTTGGATTCAAAGTAACATTAAATTGGCACTAGCTAGCTAATGCTAACAGCAGTTAGCACTATGTAGCGAGCACAAAATAAAGTTTATCATTCAAAGTCTTTCATTTTAGACCAAGAGTTGAACAACTCAAACCTGATTGGACCTCTGCTTTAACCCTCCTGCTGACCTAGAGTCAAAATGACCCACTGGGCTTCAGTAAAGTAAGATGTTTAAACTTTAGTTTAGTTGGCTTCCTAAAATCACATTAGTTGGTGCTAACTAGCCGACACTCGTAGCATTAGCACCAGTTAGCTAGTACCAACACAAGTTTTAATTATTAAATAACCCCAAATTTGA